GAGACGGCAGCACCCAAACAAAGGGAGATGCCGGGGGGAGCTTCTGCTGCTGAAGTGTCAGGAAAGTGAATTTTGTTTGCTCCTTAATCATATTCTGATTCTCAGCTGGGAGCTGTCACTGCAGGATGGCGAGACATGGTTGGGAAACACAAGAACAGAAAGACTAGAAAGGTGTGTTTTGCTCAGGATTTGGGAAAATTGCCATTTGCTATTTCTGAATCTCCAGCCAGTGATGCAAGTTTTGCTCTCCACCCACTTCAGCTTAAAATCAGGTATTAGACTGCAACCGTAGCTCAAAAGCCCAGAAGCAAAAGCTGGTGTGTAATTCCCTGTCACCCCTAGGAAACTTAATTCTGAAACAGCCCCAGGTGCTCTCCGGGTGCACTATGAGCTCCAGCAAGTGGCACCCAGTCTGTGCATCTTGTTCTCATAACACGATGACACTTTGAATACTGAAAATCTCCTCAATTTCCTACAGATATTGGCCATATTCTGAAGAAAACTCAAAGATGAACAGGAGACACGGGGGTTCAGCTGCCAGTGACGCAGCACAGCAGCCCTTGCTTCTGCTGAATTTTGCTGTCTTTAAGGCAGACCCCAAACTCCCCCAGGTCTGTCCCACCCACCCCACCACGCTCAGCACAGAGTGGCTTCCAGGAGTGGCTGGGCCACAAGGAACAGCCACGGGTATTTACCAGCCCACCCACAAACGCCCCAGGCGTTCGTGCCAGTATTTCACTGAGCAGCTGCTGATAAGGAAGATATTTCCAGTAACAGCCTCCTGAGAGGCAGGGACTAAGCAGGAGCCTCAGCAGCAGCTCGCTCACCCCCGGCCCAGGCAGGACCATGGGCCAGCCGCCCAGCTTGCTCCCAGTTTTGAGGGGCCTTCTCTGCACGTCCTGACCCCCACGGCACCAACCACACTTGACAACAGCACGTGGGGCTACCTGGACAAACAGCCTGAAGAAACGCAGCTCTCCCCGTCTCTGCCGTTGACCACGGCACTGACAGCCCAGCAACCCCTTGGATCTGCCTTCCGACCAGACATCACTGGGGAGGTTCCACCACGCTCCTCCATGGCCAGGACACAGGGAAGCTGCTCCTTTGGGGACGGGCAGGACAGAGCGCAGGCGGCCATGGGAACACCCGCGGGAGGACGGGGCG